GAAGCATGCAGCTGGTTAATGTTAACAAAAGACCTTGACAGGAACATGTAAACTCTATTGAATGTCATGCTCGGGGCCTATCTGCCAGCAATATTGTAGAGTTGTTTCATTAAAAATGAATACTGTACACTGAATATGGGATAACTTTCTGCAGCCTTCATCGTTTCACACAGTACGTAGATTTTTGAATCTAGGTAAAGAACATGTCCTGGTGTCACCGCTGAATATGTCCCTGTGCAATCTCTTTTGTTGAGTCCTTGTGAAGCTACCAGTCACAAATCCAATACTCTGCTCCCTGAGGACACGTTATGTGAGACATAGCACTGTTGTAGTTTTCTGCCTATCCCGAATGCTCTGTGAAACGTAACCTTAAATACCATCACGTAACAATCACAAAAACTTTTGCTAAAGGCCGTATATACTAATAAAAAGACAGTGGTGCTTCTGACATTCTGAAATGCTCTGAAAACCAACTTTCCCAATACTAAATACAACAAAATAACCTTCATAAAATATAACTTTTCTCCATTTACACTTTTTTAAAGGATTAGTACCCTATGCTTTTCAAGCACAGGAATCTGTGAAATAACTCCTAACATGGACAGATTTTTTTTTTTTTTTAATACATAACTTACGAGGCTGGAGAGTTTTAACTCAAGTCCAGTCTCTAAACAAGGAATATTCTTGTTTACTTTAAAAATGGAAACAACATATAGTTCCATTATAATTGTTAAAAAGTTAGCTTTACAAACATGGGAATTTTAATTTAAAAAAAAATTCTTAACAAAACTATACAGTGTACAAATTACTGTCTACAAGGTAGGCGGTTCGTTAAGAAGATCTTTCGCTCTTCTTGCTACTTTGCAGCTTCACAGATTCATTCACATATTTTTTTTAATGGAGCTGCCCACCCGAACATTACCCCATAACTATATTGCTATAATTAAGATTTTTGCCATGTCTTTATGTACAGTCTCCTTCACTGCCTTTTATTTACTTAATTTTTTTTTCCCTTAGACAAGCCTCCAACGCTCACGTCACTCCAGAGGAAACACTTCAGAGGCACTGCTAGTGGTGGGCCGCAAAGCCACGCAACAAAAATGCCAAACAGTGCCACGGGATGAACGGGGGGCAGGAGACACCCCCTGTGCCTGGTGCCCTTGGGTGACCTTCGCCATCCCGAAGCTCTGCAGTTCTGGGAAAGGGGGGGGGCGTGCAAGACCTGCAGGAGGGGCACCCTTCGTCAGAATATACTTCCTGGTTAAAAGAGGAGGAGGCCGAAAAATGGATTTGAGATTTTCTACAGATAGTAGTATTTTTAATAATTTTATCACAAAAGGAAAGGAGGGGAAAAAACGGATTAAAAAAAAAAAGAGCAACACTTGAACTAGGCCTTTGTATTCAAGAGGCAGGCAGGAATACCCACAGTGTGTAATTTACTTATTAGCTAGAACTGCTCATTCTCTGGCAAAAAAAGAAAGAAAAGAAAGAGAAAGAAAGAAAAAGAAAGAAAGAAAGAAAGAAAGAAAGAAAGAAAGAAAGAAAGAAACAGACAGACAAACAAACAAAAGAGAGCGAGTCTGCTCTTAAAAAAATACTGCGTGTCCTGTGAGGTTGATTTGTTCACCTACTCAAGGTCAAAGATGCGTGAAGAGCTTGGCTGAGATGAGCTGTTTCGGACTAGGGCAAGTATCACAGAAATGAGTGGACTTAACTCATCAACTTGCGTGGCTAGGATCCTGCTGTGCTAACGGACTGAACGGGCTAATGAAATACAATTCTAGACCTACATGCATTGTTCTAAAGTATTCGTTATGAAATCATACGTTGTGAGAACAATGGACAGTTTATTTTATTAGGCCATGGCCTGGGGGAAGCGGGTCAGGGGGCTCCTTGAGACTGCCCTCCGTGTGTCACTAATTCTGAAAGATTTTCCTTCTAGTAATGAATTCCCTCAATGGGATCGGGGTGGGTATGGGGGGGAGGGGTGTAAGAGCAAAATAAACCCAGCCTCCACTCACCCACTAGCCCTCAGGGGAAACTAAATCAAATATATATTTGAGGCACCATCCCTTAAAAAATCCCATCAGCATCTAATGGGGCTTAATTCATCCACAGGAACATTAATTTCTGAAAATTCTACATTTCCCTTCTGCTCTGGTTCTCAGCTTAAAAGGGCAGGTAAAATAAAAACGTAACAAGATTCATTATTTTTTTGTTCCTTAAAAATTGAACTTTGATTTTAATCCAAAAGTCCAAATACATTTAATACAGCAACCCTCTGTTCAATCCTCTGGATGTATTAAAAAAAATAATTCCAAGTGCGCTGCAATCCATTTGAAGTAGTGAGTCACAGGTAGATCATATGCTACCATTAATGATAAATGAATAAATGGGGGAAGAGAAATGGTGGAGAAAGAATACAGAAGCACTCCCTCCAGTCAGGATGATGTGTTTTGGAGGAGAAAATATGCTCAATGTGTTAAACCCCCCCGAAGTGTGAACCATCCACTTGGTGGATGGTTCCACCAATATTTTTGCCAAATATGAGACAGGCTCACTCTCCACTGTGGATCTGGAACTTTTGAGAAAAACTACCACCACCACCACCACAAAAAAAAAAAAAAAAAAAATTAAAAATTAAAAATAAAATAAAAAGATAAGACAGTTTGTTTTAAGCCAAGTCTGCCTCCAGGAGAATTTGTTGTGTTCACTTTCTTACTACTTTTGTTGTTATGAAAACCAGAAATGAGTTCAGCTTGCACCCCAGGTGGGAAGTTAGAGAGGGTGGAACCTGTGGAAGTTGCAGTTTGTCACAGTAGACAGAACAGTCGCTTTGCAGCCCAGGCCCGTCTCAGGGTGCACTGCTTCACAGCTACACTGTAAAGTGTTAAAAATCCTCCCACCCACCCCAGAATATATATATATGTATATTAAAAAAAATCCCCTGTCCATCTCTCAGTACACAAAGGACCTCATCACACTGCAAAAATAGCAGTACCCACTTTGGTCAATTAAAACAAACAAACAAAAAAAAGCATACATTATTTTTTTTAAATCTGTGTACTTACCTATAATAACCAATACAGCTAAAAGCACTACCTACATAGGCAAAACTTGGTATTGCATAATTCGTATAAATTTGAAACCCCTCCCCCCCAAATATTAATTGGAAGATGAAAAACATGAAAGGTTAATAGAAAAACACCAAAATACTGAAAATATTGCTGGTCGATTACAATTTTTAAGCGGCAACTATACACAGCCATGATATGCTTTATAAATGTGAGATAAAGGTATAACTGTCTAAAAAATCCATGATGTCACACATTTTTCTTCGTCTGGAGTACAAAATATTTTGTCATAAAAATGGTAAAGATTTAAAATGATAATAAATGCAGCAAAACAAGTGTAGTGATGTCACTTTTTTGTGTTTTTTTTTTTGTTTTTTTTTTGTTTTTAGATTTCAAGGCAAGGCACGTAATGTGGACATTATATCTTCGTGCAAATTAGGATTACTGGAAAGAGTATTTTTAATTAAAATTTTAAGAGACATAGAGGCAAAATGTGTCTGCCCATGCACACTACAGATCTGTCAATACAAGAAATTTGTTGAACAAGGCTAATGTCTGAAAGCACCATGCAAGTTTTCAGCACCCTCATTACATTTGTTTTCTCAAGAGTGCGTTTTTATATCCTACACCCTGGCGTTCCCAGTTTGTAAACTGTAAGCTTTACCCTTGTGACATGGATTTGCCTGCCTCTTTGTCTCTATGATGCAGATTTTATAGAACCTTTTGTACGTACACCCTATGGGTTCTTGATGCAACCAGTAATTTTAAATAAATAAATTCTACCTCCAAGGAGGCTGCAGCTAAACCAACATAAGTGCTGTGTTTTCATTAATTTTTTTTTCCTCAAGCACATGATTTGTCTTGATTTAATGCCTTTTCAATGCCCTCAAAAACTGAGGGGAAAATAAATTCGTTCAAAATTATTTTAAATTCTTTTTAATCCCCTCAATTTAGAGTCCAAGGGCTGAAGGACTTATAATCATGATTCCCCTTTAGATATAAATTTATAAATTGCACTTGCCTCTGTTAAGTGTTTCTTTTGTGGGGAAAATATTATATTAATTTTTACTGTTGCATGCAGAGATAACACTTCACCTACATAGAGGCATTTCTTCCATAGAGCCTTTGTGTTCAAACTGTTTTTTTTTTCTTTTTTCTTTTTTTCTTTTTTTTCTTCTCTTTTTTTTTTTTTTTTTTAAGGTTTCAAACTGGGTTACACACTGGAAAAGGCTGGGTTAAGGGCCAAAATTTAATAAATCTGTACTGATAACTAAAGGCTACAGAGATTTTATATATATATTTTTTAACTTTTAGAAATCAGAGTGCTTATAAAATGGCTGGCTCATGGCTCTGTCACCCAGCACCTCTGATGCCGCCTCCTAGCCTTCGTTGGTGAGATAACCAGGAATAGTGATTCCATGCGTAAACAACAAGAATACTAAACCAATAAAACTAGCTTATCATGCAAATATTAAGGCATCTAGAAAGTCAGTTAAAATATATTGTCATAGAGACAGAACATCTATTTCCCAGCGGACTTCATGTAACAAAGGCTACGTTGCAGGGGCTGCGTCTACCATCAGCGAAATATCATCGACCCTTTTTATGTCATTACAGTTTCAACCTTAAGGGAATTAGTGATTGTAAGTGCTGCAATTGCTGGTCTATATCTTCTTTCTTCAGTTGCTTTCCTTTCTCCCTTTTGTTTTGTTTTGTCCGGTCTTCCTCTTTTCCTTTTTTTTTTTTTTTTTTTTTTTTTTTTGATTTCTTAAACTACTGTTGTATTTCATTTTCCCTCAGTTGCTTGTTTCTGCTTGAAGGAAAGGTTCTCCAATTATGTTCAAACCGTAATTTTGGACATTTGCCGGTAGGATGGGTGTCCTATTTGATACTTGGAAAGGAACCAAGCTAGCCCAGGTACCAGGACTGTTGACAGGAGAGGAGCAGGAGGGAGGGAAGAGAAAAAGAAGAAACACAATGTTAAAATCTACAATGATATTAGAAGTATAAATTCCATAGGCATCAAATTACTGCTATAACTTCTTTCCACTTTACAGTTTAATATGAGATTAGTGTGCTAAACTGATTATTATAGGTAGGTACACTGCATGGTCTATTTCTCTCATGGAAGGTAAGACTAATGGTGAGGCAGGAAAAGCTCAAGTCAGGCTTACACACAACTGTTGAACTCTGATGGAGTGTATTCCTAAAATATCTGATCTACTTTGATGAAAAAAAAAGAAAGAAAGAAAGAAAAAAAGGAAAGCAGCAAATCCACAATGGTACCAACATGGTTTGCCAGTCATATTCTGATCTTGCTTTACTTTCAATTCACAAGCAATTCAGTGATAAGATGGGTTTCAATTTTTTACCTGCTTATTGATTGGATACACCTGAAAGCTGTCATGAAAGATATTCCTTTTTCCTTACAATAAGAAAATACACATATTTTAAGAAAGTCAGTACATAATATGTAATTTGAAATGCTGGCACCAGAGGCCTGGGCACTCCCTGTCACCGCCATCAGTATGGAAGGTTACCACATCCAAGCTGCTCTCAGTCTGAAGATCTGGGAGGGGTCGGGGGGAGGGGAGCTGCAGGGAGCAAGCAGACGAGGTTCCTGCCCCGTCCAACCCTCATTTCACCTGTGTTGGGTTTGGGCTGTTTAAAAAACTTGAAGAACAGTTCTCTAGTTGCTATTGGCATAATTGCTCATTAAACAAGTAATCATATGGAAGGAAATGACCTGAGATCTATAGATCACAAAACAACCCCACACACCATACATTTTGGGGGATATCTAATCAGACCATGTTTGTATCAATACTCAACTCAGAATGAAAGTCAGCTAATTAACAGCTGTGCAAATCATCACAAGCCAAAAACACATCAAACTGACAATTCTATACCCTGTTTTAGCATGGGCTGACTTGGAGACATCATTTCAATGTTTTAAATTTAAGGCAGTATCCTTTACTTTTGAAACCATGAGGTGAGATGGATACTGTTATTGTAGATATCAACCTGGACACCCTCATTTTTTCATACATGAATATCAAAGATACAAAAACCGTTATGGGATATTAACTTGAAGGAACCATTTTGTTTAAAAAAAAAAAAAGCTTGGATTTCAAAAAAAAAGAACCTGGTGTGTGTGTGTGTGTGTGTGTGTGTGTGTATCTTTTTTTTACTCTGGTAATACCTCTACACAAAACATGTCTTTTTAGTAGATGTCTAAGGGCATATTTCTGAGTTGATACTTCAACTGAAAAATTTCACAATGATTTTCTATGCTCAAGAGGTTTTAGGATTAGACTATGAGCTCCATGATAGCCAAGTCCATCTTCTTTTGTTCTCCATTTAATATAGTACCAGCACAGAGTGGATGTTCAATAAATTTCTGGATAAGCAAACAAATCACTTATGTGTTCCAAGTCCCACCCAATCCTACATTTTTAAAAAGTAGAGTTTGTAATCATCACGCATTTGCACAAATACATTACGATTTGGCCCCCTATAAAAAGAAAATAGGCATCTCTGAGCTTAAAATTAAGAGACATTTGGTATTAATAAAAATTAACTACTGAGGAATAATTAAGAGTTCGAACAAAGAATTATTCAAACTAAAAAGATATGTCCTTGTTATCTGTTTAAAAGTCATAATTCTCAAGAATTAGAATAGTTGTTACTGAAACCTTTTCCAAGAGACTTAATTATTTTCACATATTTCTCTCTTCCCACACACATCTTCCATTTCTGTGCTTTGCATGATTGATTGGGAGAGAATGTTACATGAGACATCATGAAAGCTATTTTCCCCTCAACCATACTTTCACTGCACTTTGTTACACAGTACTATTAGAGTATTTATTACTTCATATCATAGTCACCTGCAGCTGTGATTATCTTATCGGCTGAAAGGTAAGCTCCATAGAGAAAATGACTGTCCTATCAATTGTAGAGTCTGGCTATAGCTAATGCTAATTATTTCTTAGCAAATAAAGTGAATTACAAAAACAGACAGCCATTATTCTTAACCTGAAATGGGAAGCATGTATGAAAAACAAAGACTAGCTCAAATTGATGACCCTTGACAGTAAAAGACAATGTCAACAGCAAGTAAATCACTTTGCAAAAGCAAGTTCCAAATTAAATGGGCTCTAGAAAGTCATTTAGAGATTGCATACTTTAGGAAAATAAAGTATAGCTTAATGATTGAAAATAGATGTGAGTCCTTAAATGGAGAAGTATGTCTAACTGATGGCAGAAAAGACAAGAATTTGGAGTTTATTTTGCAATAGCTTTCTTATGCAGTTCTAAAAAGAGACATGTCTTACTCTTTGGAAAATGCTCAATAAAAACAAATTGATGTAGGACTTTTGCTGCAGAATATCTAGCAAATTCAACTTAGATATTTACTTAAATTTTTCAAACCTCCCATCCTACATCATGACCATGTCAAAATGGCAGTGTGTGTGATATATTTGTCAATACTGTTTATGAACCTTTGGGGGAAATAAATCTCAAACATTAACACTATGCAGACCTCATATATGAATTTTACAAGTCTCTTATTGCCAATTTATATGTTAGGTTCAAAACTATAAGGCACATTTCTTAGAGCCTTTTGGTAGTCTCATTGAAAAAAATCTGGTAAAACAAATTCAAAGATTATGGCAACAACGTAAAAAAAAAGTTTAATCAAACAAAATAACCTAGATCATTTCATCTCAAAAAGAGAATGCCTCAAATTGCATACCTCAATTTTCAGGTAACAGTGCTTTTTACATATCTAACTCCCTCTATATGAATTAATGCTGCTGATCACCAGTATGGGTAAAATAAACACACATATTCATATTTATCTCCACATACGGACTAGTTATATGTAAAGTATTTAATAGTCTTAATTCATAATGGAATGAGAATTATTTCATGCCCAATCCAATAATCTGTGCCTCTATGTATTAAGAGATGTGTGAACATAATTGAAAGATCTTAAAATATTCAAGGTTAAGTTAAGCTACTTCAGCAATAGATCTTCAAGCATGCACAGATTTTGTTTTCATTCCATTTTCCATTGCCAAATCACCTTTTCTTTAGGCAAACAGAAGATAAGCATGACTAAAATTTGAAAGTACATCTTTAGAAAATATATATAGGTCATACCATCAAAAAAGGAAAAGAATATAAAGTACTTTAAAAAACCAGGCACAAAACAAGGAAAAAGGAGATTTTGACTGTACCTTAACACAAGCAGAATTCACCCTAAAGACTTCTCCATGTATATAATGAGATATTTCCTTATACACAGAACGGATACAAGTTAAATCAAAATTCTAAAAAGTAGTCTGATATCATGAATAATATTTTCACAGTATTCTCACCAAATGCATGATATGGCTGCCCCAAAAAGGGAAGAAACAAAGAAACAAATTATTTTGACCTTAAGATGCATTAATGGGAGGTGACAGCCCATTTTATCCTGATCAGACTACTTCTGAAGCACTGTGTTGCTTCTACCCATCACTCTTCAAGAGAAATAAACTCTGTGACATTTCTTTGATGAAGAAACTCACCAAATCATGTCATTTGAGGAACAGCTGAAGGGAGACAGGAAAGACACAACAGTTAAGTTGGAAAGAAATTCACACTTGTTCTGTATAGTTCAGGTGGAAAGAGCATAAAGCGAGAAATTTCCAGAAGACAATCATGCAGAGACCCTACTATGAGCAAAATAACCATTCTGGGTGTTTTTCATATGCTATCTCACTTGATTTTCTCAATGAACTCTTGAAATTGCCATCATCCCCATTTCACAAATGAGAAAACTAAGGTTTAAACTTGCCCCAAGTTGCCCACCTAGACCTCAGATACGAATCAGTTCTGATTCCCACAGCCACTTAACTCTATTATACTGCTGCCCTGGGAGGTCAGACATCAACCCTACATTAGAATAAAGTTGTGAATCGAGGTTCTGAAGGCAGTATTTGCTTCAGGAGACAGTGAATTTCCCATGCCCCACACAGCTGGATCATAACCTAGCTAAAGGTGCAGAAGACTTCTGCACAGACTATGTGGTTGATCTGAGTGATCAAGCAACTCTGAAATCCCAATATACATCCTCTGAAAACAAATCTAGTTGAAGTTGTTTAAGAACTTAAACAAATCTAGTTTAAGTTCCTATATATGTTTAGAGTGACCTTATGGTGAGGATTACAGGGTAAAAAGATACCCAATTCTGCCTTTTAAAAATGATACACTACTTATATATCTCATATCCTTGGATAAATTGGATAAAGTAGTCAGCCCTTGCATCCACAAGTAGTAAATTGACTCTATACCACTCAATGAAAGAAAGAGAGAAAATTGCTCTGGGCAGGTCAACATTTGATGGTTGTACTTTCTAAAATTATGCAAGACTGTGTCTTCTAGGCCAGAAGGACTGAGACCTTGGCTTTTACCTCAGTAACCACCCAAGAACCACAGAGTGCCAAATAAACATATATGGGATGATAAGTTGAGTAAGGAACCAGACAAAGTCAAAAGCTTCAGTTCAACTATATCTCGAAATAAGAGCTATTTGAAGATAGGCAAAATTCATTTATTACTAGTCTGTGTTTATCTGATAATGGGTTGGGTCACCCATTTATCAAGCATTTTATAAAATGTGAAAGTATCCCAGCACACTAATACTTTTTAGTGGAAAAACAGTATTACCCATCCAGATTTCACATACTAATTTAATCATAAGACTGCCATATTTACCTCAAAGATAGTAAGTACTCTTTCAAGAAGCTTAACAAAAATATTATCAGAATGGAGCAAGAAGAATTTTATATAGTCAGGAATACCTCAACTCTACTAGTAGCTACATTACTTATAGATAGCAGTAAAAATAAGCCATGGCCCAGAAAGCACGGAAA